GGAACTGTCCTTCGAACCGGATTTGAACCAGTGACCTAGGGATGTTTGTTTACTTATCTACAGTCCCCCGCTCTACCGACTGAGCTATCGAAGGCTGATAACGGCCAACTTCTTTATTGATCAATCAATATTTGTCATACAATAGTTAATAGAATTTTGATAATATTATTAAAAACTTAGGTATGAATATTATTTTTAAAATTTTTACGAAAAATATTCAACGGAAAGCCACGGTTTTTTGAAGCATGATTTGAGATCCAAAGCACAATATTTTGGAGGATGCGGGCGTCGATCCCGCTACCTCGCGCATGCTAAGCGCGCGCTCTAACATTTGAGCTAATCCCCCAATTGCTGCCTTTCCTTAAATCTTTTCCAGCAATTGTTAAAAGATAAATCCCTCTTTACGAAATTAAAAATTGAATTTCTAAGTTTGATTCGTGTAGCATGGTACCTAATTTATAGGTGTAATGCCAACATTTTCTTGAACATGCATCGCAAAATGAACTGCTGTAAAACAAAATACGTTGATTCAAAATATGTTTCATACAGCGGATCCGGAGTAAGCTTATTGCCGAAATTGACAAGAATATGTGGTGTTACGCCGGTGGTTCTGTGGTAGAATTCTCGACTACCACGCGGGAGACCGGGGATCGATTTCCCGATGGCGCATGAAATTCCCCTCGGATGCATTGTCCTAATCAATAACACCCATCCTGTGGTTTCTTTTTCGCCCTTGCTGTGTCGTACCAAAATCATCAGAAGAAACGGGTAATTTTGAAATAAAACGACATTGGTACGTAAGGCATAGCAAGTTCCCATGTGGTCTAGTGGCTAGGATATGGCGTTTTCACCGCCATGGCCTGGGTTTGATTCCCAGGTTTTACCTTGAACAAAGAGGAATTTCGAGATGCTTTGTCGCTGAGATAAAAGAAACATATCCCTGATCTGGCAAGTAAATGTCCGTGCGGAGTCCCATTTAATATCAACCACCAAATGGATTGTAAAACAGGTGGTTTTATACATTCACGACACGATAATCTACGAAATCTCGAAGCTGCTTTGTTGTCGGAAGTGTGCAAAGATGTTGCAATAGTTGACCTGCATCTAAGAACGAAAGGGGACTTATAGGCTCATTAATATCATTACCGAGACGTAAGCCTAAGCAAAACTGCTGCTTCCTACTGGTTGCTGCTCTTAAATTTGCATGTTTAGGGAAAATGCATGTGTGTTATTGGTTGTGACGAAAGGGGACGAAATCCTAAATAATTCAATGTCGATATATGCATGTCTTTTGTACGGATCAAGTCAAAACGGGTCTTTCAAACTGAAAGCTAGATAAATGCATTGATATGGTAGGGAGGAAATACACAAATATTTATCTTGGCAAGATTGGAATAGAAGATGCGTTCCCCTAACGCTCTTGTCAGATAGATATAGAATGTAGTGTGACTGAATGACCTCGTAAATGTATAATATAATTATAGAGTTTATTAGTCGGTGCTTTACAGACCTCGATCAATAATCTGGTCACAGCCACAAGGGAAAAAGCACATACCGCAAATCAGGAATATTCTTTAGATAAATAATTTATTGAATTTCATATATGAAAATCAGTGGCGTAGCCACACTGGCGATTTAGTCCTGCTATGGAAATTTTATTAACATTATTCATTTCTTTAGAAATTCATTGTTTTCACTGTCAAAACCAAAATATCAGCATAGTGGGACTTAATTGTCAGGCTGACTACGCCACGAATTAAAATCATTTGTATTTAAGAATTGCTTCACTGCCTATACAACAAACAACAAGTGTGAAAGTGACCATGGAGAACGAAATTGTTGATTTAAATGTCCTATATGTGAACTTAAACAATATATTTCAAGTTTTGTTTACCATCTACATACCTACCGCTACTTTACCGCTTTTTAATGTTCGTATATTGTGTTATGAATATTGTGTTCGGTATTGTGAAAGACTGTATAGCTATCCAAATGACAAATGTCATTGCATAATACTGTTCATATTAAAAGTCCAAAAGGCATAATAACGATGAATATTTGTTGAATAGCTGGCAATAATACAATTTGACCTAAAACGTCTTTCGAGAAATAACGGGGGAAATTTGCAGTCATGCAGATGACAACCAAAGGAATGGCTGCTAATTAGCAATTATCATAAGTTCATAGGAAACAATCTGCATACAAAAGTTGTTTTATAGGTCGCATTAGCATATGCACTGATATAGCGAATAAGATCTCGGGATTTTGACGAAAGAACGTTGCATAAATGAATTTAGTCCGCCTTTCGTCCTTAGATGCAGGTCAACTAATAGAACCAATCCTTCACCAATAAACTGGCGAATGTTTTGATTTGAGGTCAGCTAATATGGAGAATGGAGCACGTCTGGATGTAAAAGCAAGGGGGTTTTATAGACAAGGCCAATGTGCATTTTTTGACGTTAGAGTTGCACATGTAAATGCCATGTCTAATAAATCCCAACCAATTGAGAATATCTTACATCGACACGAAATGGAAAAGAAAAGGGCTTATAACAAAAGAATCATTGAAATTGAACAAGGAGTTTTCACACCACTAGTTTTTGGAACAAATGGGGCGATGGGCAAAGAATGTATCGCTTTTCATAAAAATAATGTTGGCATCGAAGATCGCGGAAAAATATAATAGTCCTTATTTAACGATAATGGCTTATTTGAGAACAAAACTCTCTTTTAGTTTAATTAGGTCAGCCCTTTTATGTCTACGTGGAACAAGAATACCTTTTTATAGTGGCAATTATTTATCTTTTAACTTTTAAATTTTACATCAACATAATTTTGTAAAACTGGTTTAATTAAGGCAGGCTTGTTATGCCTACGTGGAACAAGATTACCTTTTTTTTAAAGAATATAATGTATATGTGTAAATATTGATGTAAATTAGATTTTGAGAATAAAAAGATTTTTTTTAAATTCCCGGCGTGGGAAACCCGTTTTTTTATTATGGCCAGCAAAAAGAGATTACGGCAATACAATCAATACAAACAATTTATTTAAACACGTTGGAATATTCAGTTAAAAAATACAACTGGTTTACAAAATTGCCGTGAGAGAGTCGTTATATATATTAGTAAAATAATCATTTGTAGCTTTCTCAAATTGAGGAAAGAGGGTTAAATTACGCATTTCTTCAGGAAAGCTATTCCATAGCAAAGCCCCGTTATAGCATAAGCTACGTTTTAGATAGTTCGTTCGTGGCTTTTGGTAAATTTAATTTAAATTGATTATTTCTAAAGTCATATTTAGAATTTCGAATAGAAAACAAGGTTTGTAAATATGGAGGCATATTTCCTTTTAATATTTTAAACATCAACTGAGACTTCAATTTTTTACGTCGTATATAGAGATTATCTAATTGCAAGCGATTTAAGAGAGCACAAGCGTTGGCATGCATCATAACTTGATCTTGTTATGACTCGAACTGCTCTGTTTTGTAATTTTTGTAATTTTTTTCCAAGTGTGTCCCTTAATTCATCCCAAACCGAGCAGCAGTATTCAAAATGTGGTTGTATTAAAGCGAAATAAAGCTGAACTGCCGCCTTGCGCGATATAAAGGGTCTTACGCGCTTTAACGCTCCAACAGCCGAAGAAACCTCTTTGGATATTTTGTCAATATGCTCTGACCACGAGAGGTGACTATCAATATACATACCTAGAGATTTGGAAACATTGACCCTGTTTATTTCACGATTGTTAATGGAAATAGATAAAATTATATCGTTATCAGTAGTATTAATTCTTTGCCGCGATCCTATTATCATGAATTCCGTTTTAACAATATTCAAACCAAGCTTATTAGCTGTAAGCCAGTTATTCAGATTTTCTAATTCACGGTTAATAACAAATTGCATTTTGTCAAATGAATCAGCGGAATAACTTATACTCGTATCGTCCGCAAACATTCTGGGCTTAGATACATTCAAGCAATTTGGTAGGTCGTTAATATAGATAAGGAATAGCAATGGACCCAAACTACTACCCTGGGGGACTCCACAGGTTAACGAGGTAGAGCTTGAGAGAGCTGACCATTTACTTTGCACTTTTGTTTTCTATTCGTTAGATATGACCTAAACCAATTTAGACTACCTGGATCAACTCCATAATTTGTTAGCTTTAGCATAAGAATTTCATGGTCAATGGTGTCAAAAGCTTTTTTTAGGTCGATAAAGACTACCGCATTTAACAAGCCGTATCTATATTAACCGACCAATCATTTGTTGCCTCTAGTAGTGCTGTTAGTGTACTGTGAAATGATCTATAAACCCAGATTGACAAGAAGTCAGCAGGTTCTTCTCATTAAGATAATAAGAGTATTATTCCATACTCTTATGAGTATTATTCCAGAACACGAACACTGACAAGGATAGGAAGAATCGCCATTCATCGAGCTTGTTAAAAAGAAAATTGGTATTTTTAACGAATAAAGTTGTGTCGCATATTCGAGAATTTAATGTGTTTTAAATGATTGAATAGGGAAAAAATATGGAGGATGCGGGCATCGATCCCGCTACCTCGCGCATGCAATCGCGCTCTTCCATTTGAGCTAATCCCCCAGAGCCGCCGTAACGCATTGAAATCTATTGTTACAATGACACATATCTATTTTGTTAAAAAGAAATTTGTTATTTAAACGAATAAAGTTGTGTCGCATTTTCGAGAATTTAATGTGTTTGTAATTGATTGAATAGGGAAAAAAATATGGAGGATGCGGGCATCGACCCCGCTACCTCGCGCATGCAAAGCGCGCGCTCTTCCATTTGAGCTAATCCCCCAGAGCCGCCGTAACGCATTGAAATCTATTGTAACAATGACACATATTTTTTTTGGTTTTTTACATTTGATTACCCAAACAAACTATTTGCGAAAACCGCCCAATGAAAGCATTATTTTCAATATATTGCAGACATACCAAGCTAACCGGCAAAGTCTTTCAAATTATCTCCTGCCGGAACCCGGGATTGAACCAGGGACCTTAGCTTCAGATCTTCAGTCTGACGCTCTCCCACCTGAGCTATTTCGGCATACAGCTCAAAATGTGTATTTATATTTTTCAGGCGTTTTCGATCATCCAACTAGTTCCCTTGCTGCACACAACAACGGAGCATACGGGGCAATTTCAAAATGTCAGGTTGTTATAAATATGCAGACATATATTTAATAAATTTCTACTCCATTGCCAATATATAAATTTGACATACAGAAGTAAAATATTTTTCAAAATCTTTTTCATGCAACTGTCCTTCGAACCGGATTTGAACCAGTGATCTAATGATGTTTTTTTACTTATCTACAGTTCCCCGCTCTACCAACTGAGCTATCGAAGACTGATAACGCCCACTTTCTTTCAGGCGGTTCTCAGGAATGTAGGATAGTATAATAACTCTCAGATTGGTCGGCATGCGCAGTATTTATACTAGCCATATTGACCAATCTCGCTAATCCAGAGGGCTGCTCAAATTAGCTAGTGCCAGTCTGCCGTACAGCAACAAACACGCGTTCAAAATGGCAGTGAATAGAGAGTCAAAGACCACAAATTAATGAAATTATACGAACGAGTTCTGTTTATATCACTTGGAATGTATTGTATATGTACGCAGGCGGTGTACACAATGCACATGCAAGTTTATGTTGTTTGTGGAGATAAGAAAGTAGCACTGGTTCATCCGGTCTTTTTTTGCCACTTATTCGTATTATTGCCGTCCGTTCGTCGTGTATTGTGTGTATTAAAGTTTAAATTTTAACTTTAATACCATATTTCCATGCTGAAAATATTACAATTTGATAAAGTTGAAATTTGACTGATAAAATTCATTTTCAAGAGAGTTATTATTTGTCAAGAGGGGTACCAATAATAGTAAAAATAATAATAGCATTTTTTTTTACGAAAAGTATTTTCAGCATGAGCTGATGGGTTCGTGTAAGTAAGCAAAAGTAATTAATTATACAATATTTCTACTCGTTCAACCCTCCCCATATTTCCAAGCCTACGCAAATATATTGCGGAAAGAATATTTTTAATCTGAAGACTGTTTCCTGATTTTTCGGTAGCTACCTACTAGCTATTTTGTCAAAAATAAATTTGTCACATAATATTAACATGTTTTTTGGTAAATGCATGAATCAATGCTATGGGACTACAATCGGGACTTTTGGGGACACCCTGTATTAGATCACGTTTTACTTAAAAAGAGAATTTGCCTCCAATTCATGCTAGTACAATTATATATAGGGTTAGAATGTAAGATTGCAATCTGATCCCCGATTGTATTTAACCATACCAGTGTAACTGGAAATGAATGAATGTATGTCACTATTATAGATCACGTTTTACTAATTAAAAATGCATGAGAATTTGACTCCAATCCATACTAGTATAATTACTACGAGATTGGAGTGTAAGATTCGAATCCGATCCCCCGATTATATTTAACCATACAAGTGTAACTGGAAATGAATGAAACAATACTAGAATTTCAAATATTAGATCACGTCCTACTAAAGAAGAGAATTTGGCTCCAATCCATGCTAGCATAATTACTATGAGATTGGAGTGTAAGATTCCAATCTCGTCCCCGTTTCTATTTAACCATAGCAGTGTAACTTGAAATGAATGAAACAATACTAGAATTTCAAATATTAGATCACGTCCTACTAAAGACGAGAATTTGGCTCCAACCATGCTAGTATAATTACTATGAGATTGGAGTGTAAAATTCGAATCCGATCCCCGATTATATTTTTTAACCATACACATATACAAGTGTATGCCTGAGACAGAGACTTGCTATAATTATGTGAACACTTATCAAAAGATGTTTGAATAATTAATTAGAGTAGTTGATTATGAAACACTAATTATTATGTTGTTGATTTACTCAGTTACACAGTTCGAATTTCGACATGTAAACTCTTTGAGTATAAATGGGCGAGTGTGCATCGAACTGGGCTATATTGAGGAATTTGTACGAGGATTTAACAAACTTTGACATTTCGTGATGAGTACGTCATATGACTCAGGGGCCGGTTGTATGAAAGCCAGATAGCGCTATCCACCGGATAGTGATTTTTTCAACCGTTCTAAAAATGCTTGAAAAGCTATAAAATCTCAGCTTTGGAACTAAATATTATTAAAGAGGATCCTTGACTTAGGAATACTAAGATTTAATCAAAGTTATACCTAACAACAGGTGATTTAAAAGCGATTGAAAAAACCACTATCCGGTGGATAGCGTTATCCGGCTTTCATACAACCGGCACCAGAACAATAGGGGCGAGATTTGTGACGGCGAAGTGAGAAAGGGAGAGATTTGTAACAGCAAGATAGTTTTTATTTTTATCATTAAAATTATTTCTTTAATTTTTTGTGATTTGCCCAGAATACATCCTGAGAGGCAGGAATTCAGGACACCTCGAGTCATATGGCACACGGCTTGCACGAAAGACTTAGATTCAAAATCTTGTTCTCTGGCCAGGCTATCACGGTCGTGATTAATATAAACTTATTGTCGCAGTGTCCCTCGTAAAAATCCTTCGTAAACTCCAGAAATATTCCGAGATTTCCTTAAAATTCCCGACATTCCCTGCCCATAGTTCCCAGTCCTCTTGTGCTTGACGAAAACTAGATTTGTGATACATGCCTTTTTGGTCAATTTCACTGAGATATTGACTATTAAAGCTGTAATTAAAAATCCGGAAAAAAATCCCGAGAATTGCATCGCCAAAAAAAAATCCCAAAAGAATCACAACTGCTAAAAAAATCCCGAGATCTCGGGATAAAATCATAAACTTGGCAACGGGCGCTGTTGGCGCTGTATAAACTTTTTCTAACACTGCGGTTGCGGTTCGGTCGCGGTTCGGTTTCGGTCGACCGATAGAGGACCGCGAGAGAAAAATACAATCGCGGTTGCCGTTCGCTTCCGAACGGAATGTTATGAACTACTGAGAACGACAACACAATAATCAAATCGAAAACATCTTAAGAAATGCCTCTCAGACGGAGTTTGACCTGGGGAGTACTCCGTATCGTTTTCAGATAATTTTTGGTATGATAACTGCATTCTTACTGGTGAATGGTTTTATAATTACGCCAAATAAATTGAATCTTATTGTTTAGAATCTGGGAAAGGTTAAAATCTGGGCACATGGTATAATAATTCAAAGTTGCGCCTGCATGCCTATGAGCAGCTGTCAGTCGGATGTAGGGTTATTAATCCTGATTCTAAGCAGATATGCTGATAATTTATGTCGAAAAAGAGGCACTAATCGTATTGTGTTAATATGCTTTTACAAGTGCATGTATGAGATTAATTTCATTGGGACAGCTGGAAATTTTAAAATATTTTCATTTCTTTACTTTAAATAAAGTCGCAATTTTCCAACATTATAATAATTATCGTGTGACAAAATGAAATGATTTCATTTTTTCAAATCATTTTTGTATTACTTTAACTATAAAGCATTGCTCGCATTTATATTTTCGTATGCTGGTGGTTAAAACGTTTAATTTCTTCCTGTGTACATAGTTTAAGTGCGTTCCCAAAGCAATGTCAAAAAACCTGGTAAAATTAATAAGAACATTTTTAAACGCTCTTCATCTGAAGGACGTGTCTATGTAGGTAAAATATATGTAGCAGCAAGTATATAGTTCCGTCAGAAATACAGCTGCTTTGCTACATCTTGTACAGCAGAAATCGGTTTTGAAGAAGACATTACTATATATTAACTCTGAGAGAACAACCAAGCCAGGTAGGAATTTTTTTCTATCATAGAATTATAGCTTATTCAGTTTCATCCTGGTCAAAAACTGTTCCTTTTGTTCTAATATATTCTTGATATATTTTACAGATGTTGCTCGTTGCAATTGTTAGTTCAGTGAAATTATTATATATGAATTGTTTTATAAATGGTTGCATTCTATGGAATGAAAAATATAATTAAAGCTATATGGAGCTTCATAGGCTTGTTTATAATTATATTCATTTAATACATTCATTCATGCAGTTTTATTTATCGAACCATCAATTTGTATATTGTTCACTGGTGCATGGTCAAAAAGAACTGCTCAAAACAAGTTAAAATGCTCTCAAATGAACGCAACTGTCCCTATGTTGCTCTAACAATATATACGAGTAAATATAGACTAGTAGACTAGAATAGCTATCACTACCAAATGCTGACTTTGCTCATGACTTAAACTAATTAATCTATCCATTCCATACAGTCAATGTCTTAATTTTCACCCGTCTCACCCAAATCCATCCCATTCAATCCACAATCAGTACACCTTAATCCGTCCCATCCAATGAATTTGGCCATTCCAATCCATACCATCTAATCAATCCGCATGGCTTGCATCGCAACCCATGTAATCAATCTATTCATTCCCACCCACCCTGTTAATATATCCGTTCAAATCCATCTCATCCAATTAACAAATTCCGCCAATCTATTCATCCCAAAAAATCTCTCCAAATCGATCGCAGCCGATCTATTTATTTATCCTAACCCACGTTATACACTGGCGGTCAAAAAGAACTGCTCAAATTTTGTTATTATCGTATGTAACAGGAATCGTGACAATCTATCTTTTATTGTACACTAGCGGTCAAAAAGAACTGCTTAGATGCAAATTCATAAAAAAGAAGCGATCTTGGAGAGAGCTTTCTAGGCATTTTGTACAATTCTCTTATTTCAAACAATATTTCAATAATGTAACGCAACCTGCTACACTTCCAAGATAAAGTCAAACAATGGTTTCAGGCCTAGGGAGTGACAGAAATGGATTGCCCTGCACAGTCAAAATGCCTTAACCCTTATGAAAATCTGTGGGACAATGTAGAGATAGTGCAAGAAAGTAATTCGTTCAAAAAAAGTCCATGATTTATGCGTTGATGTCAAGACTGTCCATAGGATGAATTTCTTTTGACCGTGAAGATACCACCTTTACAGAAAGTAAGCCACGCATATACCACGTATATAACCTTTTAGATTTGAACAAGCATAATGCTTTAGCATTGCAAAC